AAAGTACGCCAATATCTATTTAGAAGCTTAGAATAGAGTGTGATACTACGCCAATATCTACTTAGATGCTTAGAAAGATCATGATACTACGCCAGTATTTACTCAGAAGCTTAGAGTAGAGTGTGATACTACGCCAGTATCTACTCAGTATCATAGAATAGAGCGTGATACTACGTCGTATCTACTTAGAAGCTTAGAGTAGAGTGTGATACTACGTCATATCTACTCAGAAGCTTAGAAGGAAACTTGATACTACGCAAGTATCTACTGAGAAGCATAGAATAAAGCGTGATAGTACGTTAATATCTACTTAGAAGCTTAGAATGGATCGTGATACTACGCCAATATCTACTCAGAAGCTTAGAATGGATCGTGATATTACGTAAGTATCTACTCAAAAGTTTAAAATGGAGTTTGATATTACGCCAGTATCTACTCAGAAGCGTGTTACTATTCCAATATCCACTAAGAAGCTTAGAAAGAAACGTGACACTACGCCAATATCTATTCAGAAGTTAAGAAATATATGTGATACTATGTCAGTATCTACTCAGAAGCTTAGAAAGAAGCACGATAGTACGCCAATATCTATTTAGAAGCTTAGAACAGAGCGTGATACTACGCCAATATCTACTGAGAAGCTTAGAAAGAAACTTGATACTACGTCATATCTACTCAGAATCTTAGAATGGAGCGTGATACTACGCTAGTATCTACTGAAAAGCTTAGAATAGAGCATCATGTTATGATTCCTAATCGGTGAACTAATATGTTGCGACACTTTCATTCTGCATCATTGTCACTGCTTTATTGTTAAAGAGGATGATTAGGTAGAAACGACTGAACTTGATTTGACACTTCTGTAAGCAGCATCTGCCTTAAAAGGTTTTGGAGGACGTTTCGAGCTGCTATTGCAGATCATTATCAATTTAAATTGGTTAAGTCTTATAGTCGATCACATTCTCTCAGCTCTCGTTTACGGACGCGTTTTAACAATATGTTAAGAAAACAGCTCGAAACGTAGTCCAAATACTTCTAAAGAAGATAGCTCACGAATGTCTCCAATCAAATATGCATGATTACTGTTTTGTGAGCCAATAGGATATGATTGTTTTATTTCACGATATTTAATCTGTTTTGTGACAGAGTTTTATAATAGAAACGATTGGACAGATTCGTGGTATTTAATAATTACTCTTACAATTTTTACAAGAATTATGCTAAACACCTTTCCTAACTTAACATTTATGTAATTCTGAAATTCTTTACTGTAATAACACTGAGTTTTTTATTGGTTTTTACATTTACGAAAAAAAATAAATAAATTATAAACGTTTACAAAAGCTTTAGAAACTTCTGCATACAAAAACAGCATTGTGGCAGAACTTTTGATGTTACTTGATTAACTTTCCCATTGAAACAAGTTCTTGTATGCCGCTTGATGGCGCTGAGAAACACTCTTATCTTATCTCTGTCGCGTACAGTGGCATTCCTAATAATTTATTACACATACATTCATCGTACTTACTGATAACGCGTTTTTTACTGTATGAAATGCTTTACTTTAAACATTATAAGGTTATCGATAAGTCCAAGTAGCAGAGGAAGTGAATATTTTGCCAATAACTAGATTTATGTCAGCCATTTCGAGCCCGTTATCAATTTTCTGCGTATATTACAACAACCTAGCTTGTTCAACAAGTACGATCATTCACGTCTGATTTCTCCATGTCTTTTCAATTCCCTGGTCTATTCAGTTTACAAATTTAGCGCTTCAACTCGCTGGGTTATAGTTTTGAGTTAAGGGAAACTTTATATTCAAAACCGTTTCGTTTGGAGCACAAGTATCGCGGTAGTATGTGCTGTTGGCCGCTATTCATCCATAAACAGGTATTCTCAGCCACTTAAAATACATCCTTTTGTCACTGTGAGCACGTGCTTTTACACTTATTTGTGTCTAGAAGGCGTCGGCTTACAAACATGTTGATGTATTTTTGAATATCTCTCTTGATTTATTCAGTTGATAAGTGATAAATACATTTAGGTTACGTTGTAACAACTTTAAGTCACGATGTTCTTGAAAACAGGACTTGTTACAAAAAATGCAGTTTCTCAGGAGACGTTTATAATTGTTTGAGCTTAAAATTATAAATTAAAAATGTAACCTTATTATGTTTGGTTAATATATGCATCAGTTGTACTAAATATTCGCAACAAAATTCGGTTTAAAGTTTCCAACAAGAGGTTTAATTATACCACAATAAACATGTTTAAAATCTGCGTAGAATTGAAATTAATGCTATTATGTTAAAGTATTATTTTAACAGGCAATCTCTGACTCAACAACAGAAAATATAGTTATTTTTGGTAGGTGGTGGAGTATCCCATCAAATCCGGAAGCCTAAAAGTGACGTACATGGCTGTGTAGGGCATGGTCTAGGGATCATTTTGCCGTGATGTTTTCTTTGATTCGAGTAGCCTTTATGGTGTTTCTGTCCTATCAAAGTGGACCACCCGCACGCTATGGTTCATACTATTTTACCATTATTTTAGGATTCCTCTCTCATCTTATTCTTGTACTATTCTTGCTCTTCACTAGGAAAAAGTCTTCGTATTCTCCGTTCCTTATCCGATCGTGAATCGTTCTCATCCTTCGTATCGTAGAGATTTTCACCAAGCCGAGCCTTTGGATACATCCATAAATTACAGCTTCTGTATGCAGACGTACTTCTCAATGGGCGCTTGACAGTACCTCCTCTGCCGAAGCTTCTTTGACCTCTCCTACGACGAACCTTTGAGCAACTGATGTGCCATCTTCATCGCCTCCACACCTGCTACACTTGTAACACCTCGGATAATTTCCTACTTTACATTTCATCTCGACAAGAACAAACACTCACCAGTTCCTCACATGTTTCACATAACGTTCAGGAAAGGTGAATGTTCCATAGATAATGTATTACAACAATGCCATAATCACGGTCTGAATTAAGGTACAAAATCACCCAACTCTACTGACAAAATCCAATCATACCTACTTTGAATGTTATCCAATTATAGATAAGCATAAACTCTGAAATCTTTATAAGATGATGTATGTTCCTGTAGAGTTTTAGAAAAGTAAGACTAATGCCTGTATATAGTTCCTACACAGTGCCCTACCATTTCGGCTGCCGTTGAGTCTGAGATTGCTTGTTAACTTTTGCCTATAACCTGACTTGCACTAACACATTTTAGTATATTTACTCACCATGATTTGGTTTTCGGTAAAACTTCAATAATTTTTGGGTAAAATTAGCACTGAAGCTACACTAGTTACCTTTAGAAATCTTAGTGATAGACTGCAGTGAAAATAGTTTATTATTTGGAGAATTTTTCACGTTTAGTACACTGTATAGGAATGTTATGGAAAACGTATATCAGTGTATCAACTATTGTCAAATTTAAAATCGTGAACTTCTACACACTTGCAGTTTAACAAACACTAAACAAAATAATAACATCGTGATACCTGAAGGTACCGTTCTACTACCACTTGGTAAATTAATAACAAAAGTGAGAGGGACATTCTCCTCTGTCCATATACAAATTACAGTTTTAAAGATGGATGAACTTGGATGTTCTGGTGGTTAGGACGCTTGACTCATAATCTGCGGGTCGCGGGCTCAAATCTCGTCATCAAACATGCTCGCCCTTTCAGCCGTGGGGCATTATAATGTAGCAGTCAATCCCACTATTCGTTGGTGAAAGAGTAGCCCAAGAGATGGCGGTAGATGGTGATGACTTACTGCATTTCCAATAGTCTATCATTTGAAAGTTAGGGACGGCTTGCGCAGATAGGCCATCGAGTAGCTTTGCTCAACATTCAATAAATAAATAATGATGGATGAGAATTGCAATAACTTTATTTTTAATTAGCTCAATACAGATTTTCAGCACAAAACCTGCACTATAGTAACGTCATCTGCATTTTAGTCTTTGTATGTTACCACATTTTGCAGGTTTAAGGATTAATGTTGTCCGAAACCCAATAAACTTTGGACAACAAAAAATTGAAAACACATTACATTCATTTAAGTTTACAGACAATAACTTCGCCACAAAGAAAAGAAAACGCCGGTGAATGACAATATGTGTTTTGCAACAATAAATATCTGCTTACTGGTATTGTGTAATAAACACAATTGTACATTGGTGAATTGACATAGTTTTGAACAAAAATTTCAAAGTTGTATCAAAAGGAGTTTAAGCTTTCAAGTTGGAAAAATCATCATCAGCATGTATTCAGCTATACAATGATTTTCCACTTTACTTTCTTGACTTGCGATATTATAAAACAGTCTGTCAAAATTATGGTGATTTGCTACTTGAAATTTTAAGCAAAGCTACTCGAGGGCTATCTGTGCTAGCCGTCCCTAGTTTTAAAGTGATATACTAGGGAGGAGGCAGCTAGTCAACACCACTTAGGCCAACACTTGGGCTACCCTTTTACAACGAATAGTGGGGTTGACCGTCACATTATAATGCCCCAACGGTTGAAAGGGCAAGAATGTTTAGTGCAGGATTTCAATCCCTCGGCGCGAAGATTGCGAGTCAAGCGTCCTAACCACCAGCCCATGCTAGGCTCCAGTTTCTGGTGAACTTACAAATAAGTTATTAGTATTTTCATAAAACATTTATGTACAATAATGGCATCAAACAACATTTAGTTATGATCTGAAACAGCAACAGTATAAAACTATTTCTCCATTTCTATTTTGCGCATAAAATAGAAACGTTCGCTATACCTCTAACTTTCAACAGAGAATACAAAACACAATGTACATATCAGGTAATAGAGCGAATCAAGATTTTTTAACTAAGATACATATCTGATCTGCGTAGGAACACAAAATCGTGTCGTATAAAACGGCAGAGCATGTGTAGTGAATTTCAAATTAGCTTCGCAGTAACCCGAGAAAAGAACTACTAGCATTTCTGGAACAAGAAGAGAATTTTCACGTGAAATATAATGAACTGTTTGTTGCTATATTCACACTTATAATTCAAAAATCTAACTTATGGGAAAGCCTCAATCTTATGAACACAAAAGTTAACTAAAACTAAAAATACCTTGATAGACTTACAACTTATGTAAAACTAAGAATACCTTGACAGAGTTATAACTCATGAAAAACTAAAAGTACCTTGACAGAGTTACAACTTATGTAAAACTAAGAATATCTTGACAGAGTTATAACTTTCGCAAAATTAGGAATATCTTGACAGCGTTACAACTTATGTAAAATTAAGAATATTTTGACAGATTTATAACTTATGTAAAATTAAGAATATTTTGACAGATTTATAACTTATGTAAAACTGAGTATATTTTGACAGATTTGCAACTCGTGTGAAACTGACTTAAAAGTACCAACTACGCTTCCTACTTCACAAAGATAATTAAGACCAAATATATCGACCTTCGCTGGAGACTGCGCCGTAAGAGCCAACATTTATGGTTCTGCCGTCCTCTCGTCTCCAGAAGACGACAGGAGCAGGATAGCCCGAAGCCTTGCATCTGAGACTGATGCTTGACCTCTCTCCAACAACTATGTCGGAACTCGTCCCGTTTTCCAGGATAGTTGGAGGAACTAGAAAAGAAAAATTGAGAAAAAGGTGTCAAATAATCTCCGAAAACACAACTCAATAACAACCAGCTAAAGACAGTTAACCGTTGTACACTAATAATAGATTGTTATTGTTTGTTTAGTGTAAAGCAGCACAATAGGCTATCTGCACTCCGTCCACCGCGGGGAAACGAGCCTTGGAAATTTACCGCTGATCCACCAGAGGGCACTACCAATATAATAGTTTCACATACTCATGTACAGATAATAACATATTTAACTTTTAAGATACGATTAAAGTAGAAATACAATTATAAAACCGAAAAATAGTTTGGTCTTTTGGAACTTTTGACAAATGAGTAAATTCATAATGACAGTGTTTGTTTTAAGAAAGTCGTAATAATAATAATAAAAACACACCCTAAGCTTCACGGAGCTTGAAGAGTGAAAATATAAAGTTGAGTGATTGCTGTCGTTAGAAGAAATACCTAGCTTGAAAGTAAGGACCTTGAACGTATATAATTAAAAGGTTAAAGAACTGAGGAAAAACAAGACAATTGTACGTTTCACAAATACATTATTTATTACGACCATGATTTCGGCAGTAAAGGCATCATCAGGTACAGACTTAAATAGTTTAGTTTACCAGGGTAGTTGTTTCGATTTAAAACTTCTAACCTTAAGTCAAATTAAATTTAGAGAATTAATTTCGACCCAGGGCCAAAAGCAGTCGGGGTTATTCAGAAACAATTATCTCTTCGCTCCGCTCATGCACTAGATAGATCGCGATTGGTATAAGCGACAGTGGTAATAATAATGAATAAATAAATTCACGAATAATTTAAATCTGGTTAGGAGGACTTGGACTTGGATCAAGGGGTAATGGTACGGCTATTTGTCTTGGTTGGTTTGGGAGGTTACAACAATTTCACTTAGAAAAAGAAAAAATGTTTTGTGACAGGTTTATATATATGTTTGAACAAAGAACTGGAAATGACCTTGACATTCACCTAGAGGCAAGGGGGTAAGAAGTGGGGAGGAGCTTAAGTTTGTTTGGTCGTTTAAAACTTTTTCTGGATTTGTTTTTCGAGTTTATTTATTTTTAATATTTCCAGACTGTCTAGTTTTTTATTTTTTTCACAGATATGTAAAATTTTGCAATTTTTTTCCTGGTCAAATTAGTGTTTTAATTTCAATAAGGTAGGATACAAAGGTTTATTCCATTTTTCTTAATTTCTAGCTTCTAGAATGTTCTTTAATTCGCGTTTCTGTGGAACGTCTTGTTTGACCTATATATATACATTATTACATTTTTGACACGTTAATCGGTTTGTTTGTTTTGAAATTTCGCGCAAAGCTACA